CCTCTAAGTTATAGCCAGGCCACCTAGGTGCTTAGAGAATAACCATAAACAAAACAAAGTTCAGCCCTTTTGGAGTTGACATTTTAGCGCACGGAGGGGATGGGCAGACAAACACTAGATTAAATTCCTTTTTAAAACCATGTAATTTTGAAGGTGGGATGGGAAGTCCTGGTGTGGCACCATAGGATAAGCACACGACCTCAAGGTCAGTTTGAACCACAGTTTGAACAGGGCTGCTATGAGTCGGATCAACCGCCCTTAACAACAACAAGTGCTATTGTTGTTGAATAAAGTAAAGAAGAGCAGCAGGGTGGGGAGGGGGTGTTAGTGTAGGAATGGGGTGGGGGGAGCAATCATCAGCTACCATTTGAACTTTGAGCCAAACCCTGAATGAGGTGAGGGAAAGAGTCATCTCTCACTTCTGGGGTAAGAAACGGTTGTGCAAAGGCCCTGAGGTGCATGGAGCCAGAAGGAAAGCAGGTGATTAAGTTGGGGGCAGAAAATCATGTTTTAAGGTCCAAAATTTAGGCTTTTACTCTGAGCGAAGCAGGGAGAGCCACTGGAGGAATCTGAGCAAAGAAACAATATGACGTGGCTTACATTTAACAAGCTCTCTCTGGAAAAGAGGAGGCCAGGGAAGCTAGTTAGGCTGATTTGTGATAATCCAGCTGACATTGACTTAGACCACGGTGGTAGTAACGGAGATAGGGTCTACACTGGCTTTGAATTCTAATTTATAGTAGTTTGTAACACAAACCATCCATGTGAAACGGGTAACAGTAAATAAATTCTACCATCCTGTGATTGGGGAGCATAGTGACTCCGTAAGATAAGCACTGGACTTTGAACCACAAGATGGGCAGTTCAAGCCCACCAGTGGCTCCATGGGAGAAAGATGAGGCTGCCTGCTCTCACAGATCAACAGCCTCAGAAACCCTATAGAAAGGTCATTATGCGTCGGAACAGACTTGAGGGCCCTTAAAAACAATAATCCTATGATTGGTGGGATCCAAAATATTTTCCTTTGGTCTCTGCTGCCACACACACACACACACACACACAAAGAAACTATAATAGTGAAGATAGTACAATTAATATTATTCATAATTGAAACACTGAATAAGTCAATCCCAGACTGTCATGAGGCTGCCGCTTTTCAAGACCTCCCTTCATTCTTGTGGAAGGGAAGAACGTCAGCCTGCCCTTAGATAAAAACAGGCAGAAGGGGCAGAGCCAAGTGTGGTAGATCCTACTTTGCATTTATTGTAAGGTGTTTTTATCACAGGCTTTGCTCTAATACATTAGTATGTGTTTGATGGAATAGTGTTGACAATTGCTTAAACCAAAATGAGAGGTGCCGACCAATAGTATGGGGGAAGAAAAATCCAAAGAGAAAAAGGTACCTGTGAGCTGGAAAAGAGAAAGCTGTGTGAAGAAGAAGCCGAAGAATTGAAATACCCAGAGTGCATAGGGAAAGGCATTCTTGGCAGGGTGAGCAACATGAGCAAAGACAGTAAGGAATCAACTTAGACAGGATGGAAAGTAAGCTGGCCAAACCCAAAATACAGTTATTTGATGGGAAGCTTTGAAATTCAGCCTGCCCTGGTCCAATAGGCAATGGGGAGTCATTGATGGTCAAAGGGAGTGGCAGTAAGCTACACAGTGAAAATCAACTTGGTCACTGTAGATGGGGTGACTGAAAAGGAGCAGAGGCCAAATGAAGGTGGGAAATTCGGGAATCCGTCACAACAGTAAAACCAAGTATAAAATGAGATCTACTGCATAGGAAGAGTTAAAAAAAAAGTTACTGATAGATTTTTGATTCAAGAAGTGATGAAGGAAGAGTCAAAGATAAATGTGAGTCTGGACTGAAAGAGTGAACAAATGGTAATATCAGTGGTAGGAACATGGAAGTTGTGGTGTTGAATGGAGAGGCTTCAGAGAGAAGATGGTGAAGCCGGTTAGAACAGATGGGTTTTGAGGTGGTGGTGAGAATTGCAAATGAAGGTCTGCTAAAGGAAAGTTTTTCAGAGAGTATCCCAGCATATTTGTCCTATAAGGTAATCCTAGGAACACTGCGGCTTTGTAGGGTAAGCACTGGACTGCTAACCACTAGGTCGGTAGTTCAATCCCACCAACCACTCCATGAAAGATGAGGCTTTCTGTTCCCATGAAAGATTTACAACCTTGAAAATCCTATATAGGGGTACTGTGGGTGGGAACTGACTTTTTGGCACTTAACAACAAGGTAGTCCTGGAGGCAGTGGGGGGTGGGGTGGGGTGCTTAAAGCAGTTGGGAAACACTACATCTTGCCTGTCTCTTGTACAGTTTCAGTGTACATGAGAAGACAAAGGGCTTTGTTTAAACCAACAGTTCCTAAATAACTGTGTTAGACTCAAGTATTTTTTGCTGATCCTCTGAATCAATGGTTTGAGGTTTCTTAGGCCACAATTTGGGAAATGCTGTCCATGAGGCCTTTGGAGATAAAGTCCTACAGTGAAGTGAGAGTTGAAACCTGAGATGGTTAGGAGACTTGGTGATACAGGTTAACTTATGAAAATGAGACCCCATCGGTCACTAGGAAAGAAAGCTTAGGGTAAAAGATAAAAAGCCTAGAAAAAAGGCCCTTAGAAATCCTTATCTTGGAAGGCAAGGGAAACATTTCGGTAAAGAAAGATTTGTTCCCCCACCTGGGCACCTTCATTTCTCTTGGCCTCTCTGAGTAGGTCTTTGCCACCCTTCCAGGCTTAACTCACCTCTCCTCTAAGAAGCCTTCTCCATCCAATTCTAGGTCACAGTGTAAGAGCCATTCTTTTACTCCCATGGTGCTTCACTGCTTGTTCCCTTGATGTTTGCCTGATGCTTTGTCTTTAAGAGTGGCAGTTGAGTCTTCAAGTCATTGTTGCTGAGTGCTGTGTTAGTCCCTTGACTCTGTTCTGACTCTTAGCGACCCTGTAGAGGGTTTAAACAGCCCACCTTGCAGTCCAATGCTTATCCTACAGTTCCACAACAGGACCCCTCAGTTAGGATAGAATTTACATAATAGAGGTCCAGTACATGTTTGTTGGTTAGATGGATGAGTGCATGGATGGATGGATGAAGGCAGGTGTAGAAAGGAGAGGTAATTTACATTAAGAGCAAGAACTGAAGAGCGAGCAGACAGGGTGAAAGTGCAGATGTGAGGTTCCTGCCAGCAGCCTCCAACCAGCTCTTCAGGAGGTGGTTCTCGCCTCATAAGGAACAGGTGTGTTGTTATGGGAGGTAAACAGACGGAGACCTGGAGAGCCAGAACAGGCTTGAGGTTCCAAGGGGCCAGGACAAACAGGCATCACAGTTAATATTTATTGGGTAGCTGCTCCGTGACCTGAACTGAGGACACAGTGGTGACAAGTAAGAAACAGTCGTCAGTGGTTGTGCTTTCCCTTGCTGACTCCTGCATATGGAGAGGCCAGGAACAGAGCATCTGGGTGGCCCCAGATCAGCCTTGTGACCTTGAGCAAATTGCCTCTCCATCTTTGGGCCCCAAGGCTTGAGGCATTAGATCTTTCAGCCTGAACTCCAGGAAGGCCTTTGCACTTCTCTTCTAGAATCTCTCCCCTGCCTGCTACAGATGAGCTACACACACACACACACACACACACACACACACACACACACGCCAGTTCCACCTCTGGGAAAAGGGATGGGCTCCCAGTAGGAGCTCAGTTCTGCTGGTGTGAGTGTTATCCAGTCAGGAAATGAGCTGGCAGAAACAGGCTTCAAGGGGCCAAAACATATGCCCCAACTAACCCTTTATCTTGGCCTGAAGAGAGAAGGGGAGAGAAAGCCAGAGCAGCCTTCAGGGCTTACCCTGGAGACCTGTTGACCTAGACTCTAAGGCTGGCTGTGGTCTCCGGTGCCACCCTGTGGTGGTGCTGGGAACCACTTCCCTAACCTTGCCTTGAGACCTTTTGGCCTCTGGCATGATTTCACCCACCTTCCCAGGCCCAGAACAGTACTCTGGTCAGGTCTACTAGCAAAGACAACTGCCCACCCAGTCTTCTTACTTTCACCTGCTTCCCTTCTCTTCTTTTCACCTTTCCTGCATTCTTGTCCTCTGTGTACATTCATCGAAATGACTAGGGTGTGAGACATTGCTACCCTGTGTGTACTTGTGTCTACCGTCTCTGCTGGGTGCATACGTGCTTTCACTTCCCCTTTCGTCTCTGCCTGCTCTATGCCTGCACCCTGTGGTGCTTGGTGTCTTATGCTGGCAGCATCCCTGACCCCACCTTACCCTGTAGGGCCAGATTGCAGCCAAGAAGCACAGCCCTGGTTTCTTGGCACTTGATTAGCACCTGCTGGCCCAGTACTTGGGAACCCATTCTTCCTGTGCCCAGGGGCAAACAAATTCAGGTATGGAGCACCCAACCTCTTCCAAATTTGAACTGAGACTAGGCAACCAGGAACTAGAAGAGCACTTTGGGCAGGCCCACTAGCAAAAGACGTTGCCCACCCTGACCTTTGCACAGGTTTTCCTTGCAAGAAAGCCAACTCTGCATCATTGGTTATGTGACTTTGGGCAAGTTAGTTAGCCTCTTGAAACCTAACTTCCTCATTAAATGGAAGTTGGTGGTGATATGTTTGCCTCTGAGGTAGCTGGGAAGACCAAGCAGTGCAGTGTTGCAAGGGCCATGGTGTCTAGTGGGTGCTGGGTCACGGCGGCTTTGGGCATATATCTCTCATGGACCCCTGGGGTGAGCTGGTACGAATACAGAGAGAGAGGGTGGAAAGCTGTAGTTCTTCGCCTCTCTCTCGGCCAACTACCTACCACTGCTGCAGATCTGTGGAGCTCCTAGAGGGGGATCCAGTGCTGAGCGGCTCCGGATTGGGGCACGTGCACACTGCCTGTCCTGGTGCATCGGGCTCACCTCCTGACCTTTCCCTCCCCTGCCTTCCTGTCGCCTGCCCCAGAAGCAGACACTGACATTGTCCCCCTCCGTCTCTTTTCCTCATCCAGAATTCCCCTACACCCCGTCTCCTCCTGAACACGGGCGGCGCGCCGGGCCGGTACCCACGGCCATCATTGGGGGCGTGGTGGGGAGCGTGCTGCTGGTGCTGATCGTGGTCGGCGGGATCGTGGTGGCTCTGCGCCGGCGCCGGCACACCTTCAAGGGCGACTACAGCACCAAGAAGCACGTATACGGCAACGGCTACAGCAAGGCCGGTATCCCACAGCATCATCCACCCATGGCCCAGAACCTGCAGTATCCCGATGACTCAGACGACGAGAAGAAGGCTGGCCCACTGGGGGGGAGCAGCTATGAGGAGGAAGAGGAGGAGGAGGGTGGGGGTGGGGGCGAGCGCAAGGTGGGCGGCCCCCACCCGAAATATGAAGAGGATGCCAAACGGCCCTATTTCACGGTGGATGAGGCAGAGGCCCGTCAGGACGGCTACGGGGACCGGACTCTGGGCTACCAGTATGACCCTGAGCAGCTGGACTTGGCTGAGAACATGGTTTCTCAGAACGACGGGTCTTTCATTTCCAAGAAGGAGTGGTACGTGTAGCCCCCTCTCCAGAGCCTCTTGTCTGCACCCACTTCTCCCCAGTCACACCCGCACGCCCCCTGCCCACTCCCCACAGCCCACTCTTCAAGAGCTCAGCAGACTCACCAAGCTGCCCAATGCCGGCCCCAAACTCCTGGGGAGCGAGGGGCGCCCAGGGCAGAAGAACTTGCTTTGTTTTTTATTTCCCCCCTGTCCCTGCCCTTCCCCGTGGTGTTGTGTTCGCCCGTGGCTTTGGTGGTGTTGTACCTTTCCTTTATTGCCCCCACCCGCCTGCCCTCAGTGCAGGGGGCCCTGTTCTTGTCTTGTGTTCCTGGGCCAGCCCTCCCCGCCCCCCCAACACTGGAATTTGTGTTCTCTTCATTGGGGTGGAGGGCCAAAGGGGCTTCTTGAGTGAGAAACCCCTGCCCCATCCCTAGATGCTGCTCCTCTTTCCCAGGGAGGGGGAACCACCCCACCCAACGCTGACGCAGCCGGGGGTTTGGACCTCTGGTCTAGAAAGTGGTTGTTCCCCAGAAGTGGGGGTGAGGGTGTGGCTTCTCCAAGCACCCAGAGGAGACTTGTTTGCTAAGTGAATCAAGTTGAGGTCCCCACCTAGGGCCTCGGGCAGTGCTGGTGAGGTTGATTTTACCTGTCTTTTTTCCCCCCTCATTGGCTTAAAGAGAGTTCAATTGGCCCTGCTCTAGCCTGTCCCTTCCTTTTGCCCTTCCCATCTGCCCCTCCATACACATGATGGGACTGCAGGGTGGGTTCTGCCTGCACTTCCTATCCAACACACACATACTGCCATATATAACCCACTAGTGGCTGCCCTGCCCTGCCCTGTTCTCCCCTGGGGTCACACGCCTTACCTAGGCTAACAGTGCCCAAGAGTCACCCTCTCTGTACCACTTCCTCCTGCCCAGCTGAGAATGGGGGCAGCCTTTAGAAGCTTCTAGGGCCCCTGAGACTAGGCCCGCTGGTGCCTCTGCCTGAAAGTCTCAGATCTGGCCCAAACTGCCTCTTTACAGCACAGAAGTTTCTCAAATTTCTCCTTTATCAAGTGCTAGCAACTCTTGATTTTCCTAGGGATAAGAGGAGTCAGGGCTGGGAACCTAAAAAGAAAGGAGTTGGTGATGAAGCCGTGTCAGTGTGGAGGATGTGGAGAAGGAAGCCTGTGGGAGAAGCTCTCTGGCAACCTGCGTTCCTAAGTCTGATAAACTCAGATGATAACAGACTGACGGCTCTCACACACAGGCCAAAGTAGGTGTTATGGGCTTACCACAAAGTGCAGGGGGTACAGGAAGCCAGGGATCCTGAGTCAGAGGCTTCTACTCTTTCACAGCCCATTTCCCTGCTCAGATGTTCCTGGTGTTCACTCTGGGATGAGGAGGAGGACCTTGGAGAAGCCCTCTTTTGAATGCAGAGTCCTCTCCGACTCTGAAAAGAAGGCTCTCACCCAACCCTCTCTGTATCCCCAGCTCAAAGTGCCTAAATTCCTCCATCTGCCCACCAGGTTCCCCTGCAGTTCAGATGGGCATACTAGTGGGGAAGACCCCTGGGATAGGAGAGGCAGGCTCCAAGGACCTGCCCTTGTCTGCCCAGGATTAAAATGAACTCATCCCAGGATGTCAGGGGTTCTATGGGGTGGCAAGTGGTGGGTGAGAGGGTGAGGTAGAACACTGCCCTGCCCTGTCCTTCCCTACTATAGGCTTCCCAAGGGGGCTTCCCAGTCCCCACCCTGCCCCTCCCTCCTGGGTGCTGCTACTTGAACCCCCAGCCAGCTCCATCTCTGCCCTGGGCCCTCCTACTTGGCCACCTTTGTCCGGCTCCCATTGCCCTAACCCTAGCCAGGCCGCCCAGTAGCCACGTAGCAGAAGTCTGAAGCCATGCCAGCCCTGGGGCGGCTCTCCCCTCTTGGCATTGGGGGTAGTGGATGGGGTAGAGTTGGGGGGAGAACACTCTGAGGTCTTTTAGTCACCTGACAAAAGTGGAGGAACTGGATCTAGAGAACCCGCTGGGCTGCTCCTCCCAGCAGCAGTCATGTTTCTGCCACCCTCACCTAGGGCAGAGGACCTTTTCCATGTCACATCACTGCCCCAGACCACCTCCTATCACTTCCTCTGACCCCTGTGCTTTATCCCCTTGCCCCCCAGGCCGAAGGCAATGCCAGGGGCCTCCCTAATAGAGGTACTCCTGATCCCTTGAGACCAAGAAACTGAAAGAAGTCCTCCTCCAATGTCTCCCTTCCTTACCCTGCGCTGCCACTTCTACTCTTATGATGATGATGGCTTAGGAGACCCCAAGCCCAGCCAAAGCACTGAAGACGCCTCCACACCCTCCCCCAAAGCAAAGCACAAATTGTGGGGCCCACATAGAATAGGTCATGCTGGTAGCTCCTACCTTCCCTGGGATCCAGCAACAGCATACCCACTCGGGACAGCTGCTACCCTGGGCCAAGGGTGGATTACCCAATGGACAAGGTAAGCATGAACTTTCTTGGGTATCCTTACTAATCTGCAGTACAGTGAAACCCATGTGAAATGGTTCACTACCAATCAGCAGGGAAGCCCACCTTGCTAATCGGGTGATCTGACATTACCCTGAGCTGAGGGTGGGCATGAGGCAGGGTTGGCACCTGGGCCTAGAGAGGTGCCCTGAGTTCATGGAAGGACAGGCACTGCTGCTGGGCCCACAGATGCAGCCAGGGACCTAGCCAGTGGCACCAGGGAAGCCTGGCCTGGCAGAGAGAGAAGGGCACATGGCTTCTCCTCCAGGCCCACAGCACGAGCTGAGCTTCTACCTCTCCTGGAAATGAGATCAATCTGGTATTGATTGTGCCAAGGCTTCCCCAATTATTCTCCTGCCTCTTGTCCTCCTTGTCCCTGCCTCTCAGCCCACAGTTCTATTTCCTTACTGATTTTGATACCGTTGTAAAGTATAACAGGACCATCAGAGTCCCATTTTTCCAGAAGGATCTGGACTACGGGGGCAGCAGAGTCCACGCATGCATCCCTCAGGCGCAGCTCCGCACACAGTGGCACATGTGGGCACAACATGCTCAGACAGACCCAAGCACAGTCATCCCACACATGCTCGGCACATGTAGATAAGATGGAGCACAGCCAACGTAGATACACACACACACACACACATACACATACTCAGAGAGGTGGGCTTAGTCCGGCTAAAAGCCCGTGAGGAGAACCCGTGATGCCCGGTACTTGGGCCATAGGTGAGAATCACAGGACCCCCTGCCCCGCTTCCCTGGGACATGTGTGCCCCCCCACCCCCGCCAACTGCCCCCATGTGCCCAAGTCACTCGTGCAATAATTCTAATGTCGTCCTCAAATCAGAGGGATCAGGAATTGTGTTAGGAATGGGCAGGGACCAGGTGGAGCTAACTGGGTACAGGTGCCTCCTCTGTTGGGAGCAGGGGAAGAGTCTCGGACCTCTGAGGGTCTTGACAGAGATCTCCAATATCTGACTGCTAACAGTAATCCCCTTCGAGACCCTCAACACCCAAGGGGAGACCTGCTTTGTCTACCTGTGCCAGAGATGTGAAGGAAGCAGGTCTCTGCTGAGTCTCGGTGCCGAGGTTCTGATGGAAAGGCCAGAGGAGGCCCTCCCACATCCACATCGGTGCTGCTGTCTTTCTGACCCCTGCTGTGAGGAACGGGATTCTTTTTTTGTATAAATGGAACAGAATCAAGGAGAAGCTGCACCCCTCACCTCTGAGTGTGATCCTTTGCTTCAGTTTCTTTGTCATGGTTTTGTCTTTAGTCCTGGGGACTGCCCAGCAGATTCTCCTGGTTCTGACCCAGGGGGTGTTTGCCTCAACCCCCTTTTACTTGTATAAAAAAAAAAAAAATTATGGGTTAAAAATGTACTGAGGAAAAATGTACTTTTTTATAAATAAAGTGTTTAAAACAAACGTGTGTCTCGTGCCTCTTGTTCCCCAGCTGTGGTCCTTCTCCACCACAGTGGGGCCTGGGAGGGATAAAGCTGACTGATGAGCAGAGCCCTCATGGCAGGGGATTGAGGGAAGGGGGTCTGCACGTGTGCCAGGTCTCATGGTTCTGTGATAGTGAAGAAGGAACCCATGCCATCATCTTGCACAAGCCCCGAGGGAGAAGGGGAGGGCTCCACAACTCACAGGCATGGATGGAGATAGCTTGTCGGTGTCTGCACGCTGTCCAGGACCAGAGAACCGAGTTAGGGGAGAGGCACTGTACCTAGCTGGGAAGAAGTTGTCCCAGCCCTCCTGGAACTTAGATGACCATGCACCCTTCTGTCCCAGATCTGAGGTTCTTTTCAGTATCCTCGCCCACTCCCCTTGTCACCCCATCCCCTGCTGTCGGCCTCTCCCTGCCAAGTCTCCTCCAAGTGGCCGTTTGGAGAAGAGAACTAGCAATGTCACACCTGTCATGTTAAATCCCTGGAGACAGAAAACATGGGAGCTTCATCCTTTCATCTTCTATTTTGAGGATGCTTCAGCCCCCACCCCCAGCAAGCTCTCTCTCAAACACCCCCTTCCCCGACTCCTCTGTCTATGGGGCTAGTTGGAGGAAGGGTCTCTCTGTCCCTCTCTTACATAACCCACTCCCCACATCAGCACCATCTGCTTCTCATCTCCAGGGCTGGAATGCAGGACAAATTGATCCTGGGGGTGGGAGTGGTAGGGCTTCTAGGACCTACCATCCCCAGTAGCATCTCCTTTCACTGAAATCCATACCACAGACCCCTGGGAAAGCGGATCAGGAAGCTGGAAGCCATGGTGGCTGTGTAGCAGAAAGTCCCCCTGCCCATCTGGAACTAGGCCAGATTCTCCACACCTAGGATTGGGGTAAGAAGCGAGGAAGTGGGGTGAGGGGAGGCAGCAGAATCAGGCAGGGCAAAGAAGCCAACAGCTGTTAGCAGCTGGCTGGACCTGTCACCAACAGGCCTAATCGACCTGCACCTTAGACAGGGAGGGCGGGGACTGTGTTTAGATGTTGGTACTAGAATAATATGCAAATTGGTCA